CAGAAGATATGCGGTATTGCAGCTAGAGGAAACTGCAGTTCTTGTAATAAATTCGTAATCCAATTTGTTTCAGCCAAGGCAGCAGCAATGGCACGATATTCAGCTTCTGTCGAAGATAGTGACACTGCCCGTTGCTTCTTAGAAGACCAGGAAATGAGGCTGGAACCAATATAGACAACATAACCAGTTGTAGAGGTACGATCAACAGGATCCCCAGCCCAGTCAGAGTCGGAATAAGTGCGAAGTTTGTTGTCACTTTGTCGAGATAAAAACAGAGCATAATGAGCAGTTTGTTAAAAACAGAGCATAATGAGCAGTTTGTCGGAGATACCTTAGTAAACGCTTGAGAGCCCACCAATGATCATTAGAAGGACAATGCATAAACTGGGCAAGTTTATTAACAGAAAAAGCAATATCTGCCCTGGTAAAGGATAAATATTGAAGTTTACCTACAATGCGCCGATAGAAAGAAGCATCAACAATATCTTCTGGAAGAGACACTGTGAGAACAATATTGGAGCTCATAGGTGTAGAAACCCCTTAACCCCTTTGGAATTCTGCATATTAGTCTCTAGCAATAACTCCAAAACATATTTCTGTTGAGAAAGAAACAACCCCTTTGGTGAAGGAATGACCTCAACACCGAGAAAGTAATGCAAACTACCAAGATCTTTTAGAGAAAACTGATTTGAAAGACCATTAATCACATGTTTCAACATGTTGAACCACCTCTCTCTCTCATGTATGCAGTGACAATAATGTCATCCATATTAAAACAAGAACATAAAACAAGAACCACTAGAGTTTTTGTGCCTGATAAATTAAAGGATGAGTTCCGATCTTAGGACCGATTAAAACCCACAATTAAGAAAGATAATTGGGAAAGTAGTGTTACCATGCTTTTTGGAGCTTGCCTTAAACCAATAAAATAGCCTTTTTTAACTTACACACATAAGAAGGTCGAAGAGAATCGAGAATCTTCAAACCCAGGTGGCTGTCTCATATACACATCTTCATCTAGTGTGCCTTGAAGAAAGGCGTTATTGACATCCAGTTGATGAAGGGGCCAATTATTTTGAGTGGCCAGAGCAAGAACAAGACGGACAATTGTTGGCTTAATCACAGGACTGAAAGTGGAATGAAAATCAATACCTGGTCTCTGAGTAAAGCCCTTGGCAACTAACCAGGCTTTGAATCTGTCAATTGATCCATCCGATTTATATTTTATGCGATATAACCATTTGCAATCAACAATATTCAGAGAGGATTGAGCAGGCACAAGATCCCAAGTCTGGTTACGACGTAAAGCATCAAATTCTTCTTTCATTGCTGTATTCCAGTGAGAATATTTCTGTGCTTGTTTATAGGTAGTAGGAGGTATGTCTGTGCTTGTTTATTTATAGGATAAGTGAGGCACTAGTGCTTAGAGAATCATACTTAGAACAAGAAGAAGAATGGAACCAATTTAGGTTTAATGTATATTATTTTTGCTCACGGGTACCATTAGGTATGAAAATTGGTAATGGTGGGATGTTACACAACAGGGGGCTGGACTGATGACTTTGAACGGGGTTCAATGGGTTTGTAGGGCGTGGGTTGAGGGCTGTGGAGTGTGTGTAAGTTCAGAAAGACAAGAAGTTAGGAAGTACCTGTACTACTGAATTACAAGGTACCTGGATTGGTAACAGTCAGATACGGAAGTCAGTACTGCATCGAAATAATAGCAGGCACATTTTAATTCAGTTAGATTGAGGTAATGCAGTGTTTGTTGACAGAATTATGTTCAGTTAAGATTTCTTCCCATTTACAAAGCTGAAAATTGATTTTCTAAATCGAGAGAACAATATTACTAAAAGGGAAAATTATTCTCAAAAAATAAGGACATCACGAAGAGATGGTATGATTTAGATGAAATGGATCCAAACACCGATGACAATAATATTTTGTTTGAAAAACCTAATAAACACATGGTGGTGACTGAGCTTCTCAGTTTATGTTTTGGTTTCACGGCCGTAGCCACGGAATTACTACAATGAACCAAGGTACGAAGTGAGGCTAAGGATTGCTAGAAAAAAAAGCGATGCGGAGGGATTTTCCATTTAAAAACCGGGGTGGGTAACTTGTTGTTGCGATATAAACAGCACGTGGGTACAAGCAAAACTCGAGAGATTTTGAGATGGATAGAGATGCCTGAGAATTCTGCTTTTTTCGTTAGGCAAAAAGCATGTATGTAAAGATTGCCATGCTTTTCCGTCATTGAGCAGTAAAAGTGAAGAGCAACAAGAGTGGATTGCAATAGTAGGATCAACAGATGACCAAAAGGTGCATTTATGGCATGAGCTTTATCTTGACGGAAACCATTGAATGATAAGCTTGGGTTTTGGTTGATTAGTAGTGGAAAGAGTTGTGTTCGGCTCACAGACGCTCGCGGCTTAGCGATTGATTCCATCAAGATGTCCGTATAAGTTGTGGACCATACATGAGCATCTCAAAAATTTGAGCTTTTTCCAAAATAGTTGAAATTGGAAACTTCCACTCAATTTTAGATAGGTACATGAGCTAGTGGGATTGAATTGAAAAATGGATTGAATTGAAAAATAGACTGATATTGGGATGAAGAATCAGCATTGATAACTGGAGCAGCCATGGCAAAGAGGAGAGGAAAAAGAAAAAAAAAACTTTGGCTTGTGAGAGCACTTTAAAGCTCTGATACCATAAAGAAATATTGAACAATATGAATTGTAATCTGATCCTATTGCTATCATGAAGGTACAATATATATACAGCAGCAGTGGCCTTATAAACCTCAACAAACTAAAAACCTCAACAAACTAAACAAATCCTAACTAATAACAAATAAATAACAAAGTTATAAAAAGCCTAGAATGAAGGACGAATCATATAACAGATATGATTCTTAGGATTCTGTTTTAACCTTAATTCAACCTATCTGAATCTCTAACTTTTCTCATCCTTCAAAACTTCCTCAAAGCCTAATCTCCATATCGATTTTCAAGATTATCGATTTCAAACATTTTGCTCTAATCTCTCAAACTATCTCTTTATATTTCTTTTTCTATTTCAATCCAAACCCATCACTTAAACAGCCACCCATTAATCAATAATCACAAATGCAATTGAAAGGAAGAAGAACATCAAAACTGAAATCATTAAATTAAAAGCGATTTTAATTCTCTTGGAAGCGTTCCAAAAAGATTTCTTCTTCATCATCTAGATTTGATGGACAAAACTTAAATCCATTAAGTGTGAAAAATCCAGTTCCTTTGTTGTCGCCACCGGTGCTTCCATGGCGTCTTCATGAATTTTTTTTTTATTTTTATGAATTTTTATCTTTTTCATTTTTTATTAATCTGATGCTTTGTTTTCTTTTTTTGCTTTTTTATTTTTTTTTTTTGCTTTTTTATTTTTTTTTTTTCAAAATCTTTTTTTTTCAATTCTGAAATTGGTGCTTGTTTATGGTTATTGGTTTTATATTTGCTTTAGGAAGGTAAAAGACACAAGTTTTTTTTATCTGCTTTTGTAATTAATCGAAGAATTGTAATTAACTGAAAAACGATATGAATGACATTTGAGAACCAGCAGACGAGGAAGAGAGTATTTCGGGAAAGAATTTCCTTCTCTTTCTTTAGACCGTTAAATTTTCCTTTGACTTGTACTATAAAATTGCAAATATTAGACATAATGATAATTTAATATAACGGGTTCAAAATATAAGAATATAGTAGTTTATTTCTAAAAATATAAAGGTAAAGTAGTTTCTTTAGGTAAAATAAAAGGGTATGGCTATAATTTTCCTATAAGAAAATTATAAACCATACTTTATATTATATAAGAATAAATTAATGAGTATAAATAATGAGTAAACAATCAATAATAATGATGTGCAATGCAGAAAATATTTAATAATAATAAAACTAACAAACATATAAGTCAATACTAATTTAAATATTATAATAATTTTGGTATCATTAATCATAAACGGTCTTTTCCACATCTAAAATCATCTATCCCTTCTCCCTGGTGGTCCAAAGCAGCGGGCTGCCGTATTCTTGGCGACTCTTCCTTCGGTCGGCTGGTCAAACAAAAAGTCTTGAAAATTCAGTTGTCCATCAATTAATTCATTGAAATTGTACGATTCATTCTATTGTTAACTTCTTCCCGGAGTTTTAATAAAATACATATATTAATAATTAGTTCAATTAAAATTAATTTTTTTTATCTTTAATTTATTAAGATATTAATAAAAAATTTTAATTTAATTAATAATTATTAATAATTAATAGAGAAATTAGGATATCGATTTAAGTAAAAAATGTGAATTTGATAGTATTATACATATATATATATTATATATATACTATATATATATATAAATTTAGAACTTTTAACAAATAAATATCTAATTAAAGAATAACAAGCAAACAAAATGGAGGATAAACGAGAGATAAGATTAATTTGCGAGATGAAAGAGATATGGAATATACCGTACACACATGACAAGCGTGCTTCATCGCGTAGACATATAAATTTAGAAACTTTACAAATAAATATCTAATTAAAGAATAACAAGCAAACAAAATGGAATAGAGAGAGTTAATTTTCAAAAATTAATACTTAACTCATAAAGCTTTTCTCTATAAAAAGGACGGTGATAGGTGATTTACACATAATCTATAATTTCAATAATCAATTAACTATCCACCTAAAATAAAAATAAAATTGCAATTTAATGGGTGAATATTCAACTATTTTGACTAAATTCATGAATACAAATCAAAGGGATTGAAAATTTATTAGATATAAATTGAACGGAAATTGAATCACTATTTTTGATAAATTTAGTTTATTTTTAAATTTATTAGAAATTGAATCAAGTAAATCTGAAATAAAAAAATCCAACGGAACCATATTGATTCGGTTTGGTGGTTCGGTTTTTCGGAACTGTATTTTGCCTTACAATATACAAATTGTAATTTCGAACCCGAAAAGGCAATCGAGGAGAAAATGAAGTAGAAGATTCAGATCCAAAAGGAATATCACGCCAGACGCCTGTCACTTTTTTATTAGCTGTTCCACAGAGAGATATATATTCCTCTACGAAACCAACTTTCAGAGCTCAAAAGTCCCGTCTTCTAGTTAGGTGCCTGCCCAGTTTTCCATCAAACTTATCGTCGCCTGGAACTTGACAATTTTCTTTTTTTCAATTTAATTTTTATGTTTATGTACAGTGATATATAGTTGCAGGTGAAGCTTTGATTGCTTGGTACTTCATTGTGTAAGGAGAAGCAGCCATAGTCTGTTTGTTGGAGAGAATAGTAATATGGATGGTTTGACAGAGAAATTCAATGGTGAAAACGACGGCGTTTTCTCTGGCTCTGCTTCTCTGCCTGAAAAGCTCATTATCGATACTGACCCCGGGATCGGTAAGCTTCTACTTTCTTTTTTTTTTGAAAAATTTTTGGAAACTTTGTTTTCTGGGAATTTCGAGAATGCAGAGATGAAAATGATATTAATTAGCCTGTAAAGTACCCATCTATTGATCTTTTTTTATTATTTTTTCTTCTGATTATATCGTTGTAATTTATAGACTTCGTCTATGGAGTTTAGCATTTTAAGTTCTCAATGTGATTGTTTCGCTTCTTTTCTTTCTTTTTTTCTTAATTTGGCATTTTCTGGTTCTTTGTGTTTTTAGGTGTGAAACTAGGGATTTTCTGGAGAAGAGAGTTGTAATTGAGTTAATCTATGTTTGGTTGCTGGAAAAGTAAAATTAGAAGAATTTTGAATTTTTTGATTTTCAGAGTTGAATTTTAGATGTAAAAAGAAAAAGAAAAGGTTCAAATTTGGCTGATTCTCTTTTAAGAAAAAAACTTTTTCTTGTTGAGTGGAAATTCAGTATTCTATTTTTTCTAGTTTCTTTAGTTTTACTTTTTTTTGTTTTTTTTTTTTTTATTTACAAATTTGTAAGGAGATGTTAGGATGAAAATTTTGATGGGATTAGAAATTTGTTCCTAAAAATTGAAGTCATAATTACAAATGCATAATGTGCAGAAACTGTTTAAGCAGAACCAGAATCAAAAGGATGAAATTAGATACGTAGATATTTTTTGTTGCGAGAGGATAAGGGGTTCCGAAAGGTTGTAACTTGTAATCCTTTGAACAACGAGACTCCCTTTTATTAACTTGTTTCTTTATTAATGAGCCATCGGTTGGCATACATTAGAAAGTATCCTATCTCTACAAACTGATATAGGTGGTTGAGTTGGTTATGTAATTTGTAAGAATTGATCTGCAGATGATAGTATGGCAATCTTAATGGCATTTCAATCTCCAAAGTTGGAGATCTTGGGCTTGACAACAATATTTGGTAATGTTACAACAACAGACGCCACACGAAATGCTTTACTTCTGGTATGTGTACTTCAATTAGTTCCATCTTACCATCTTCCAGACGTTTCATATGTTCGAAACATGTTCATGATCAATTCCTTTTTTTAATGTGCAAAAGGATAGTGTGAGATCGCAGGGTGTCCAGGAGTTCCAGTGGCAGAAGGCAGCCCTGAGCCTCTAAAGGTAACTATTTAAATGCATCATCGGCTTATACTCTGTCAACCATCTCAATTTCATAACTAATTGTGACTAGATATGGTACATCTGGAATTAGACTTGATCTGATTTTGTTTTTCCTTCTATATAATGTGTTATTCTGTTTTTCTTTGTCAGACCAAGTTATTGTATCTTTGTGGGAATTTGCATTTTCAGTCCATATGTGTTGTGGGACTTCATTAGTTGCTAGTTATCTATTACTTTTAAGTTAATGAAAATTTTCATTTTCTATAGTGCATACAATTTGGGAATTTTCTTGACTACACCATGTGTCTGTCCACCTCCTTTCACATGAAGGGGTCCTACCATATAAGTGGAGTTTACGCCATGTGAGAGGCCATATACATGCTCTCGGTGTAGGAAAGAGTTTTACTACCAACTTATTTATACATATTTCAACAACTTTTATATTCCTAGACACCCTGTTTGTTTTGTCTTCAGTGGTTGCAAAAAGAAAAATTATGCATCAGTCATCTTGGAAAATAATTCAGCTTATATCTCGTGAATAATAGTGCATACCTTGTTGACCCTTCCATTTTTACTTGTAATTATTTCATATTTCCTAACCGTGCTTTCTTATTAAAAGGGGGGAACACCACGAGTTGCTGACTTTGTTCATGGTTCTGATGGACTGGGGGAAATTTTTTTACCTTCTCCAAAAGCAACAAAGATTGAGAAGACTGCTTCTGAATTTTTAGTTGATAAGGTCTCTGAGTACCCTGGTGAAGTGTGTATACTTGCACTTGGACCACTTACTAACTTGGCTCTGGTAAGCTTAAATTATCCATTCTTGCCAGCTTCACCCCTCAGGATCCCACAAATATGAACCCTAACTGTCATGTTTGGTGCTAGGCCATAAAAAGGGACTCCTCCTTTGCGAGCAAAGTGAAAAAGATAGTTGTACTTGGAGGTGCTTTCTTCGCACTTGGAAATGTAAATCCTGCTGCTGAAGCAAATGTAAGTGCTAATATAGAATAGATATCTCTCTGATATTTGCAACTATTATGAGCTTGGGTAGGAAGCAATTATTTCTATGACTTGGCCTCTTCCTTCAGTCAGTCATAGTTGATAAATTTACTTCTCCTATCACTTGCCTCTTAAGATAGAAGAGCACTCATTGCTTGAGAGGAGCAATTGGACTTCAACTTTTTGCTTTGTGCAACTTGTTGTTTGGTTACTCTATTTAGCTAACTTGAACAACCTTTTTACTAAAAAATGTGCATCAAATCTGACACTTGTGTGACTTGCAGATTTATGGTGACCCAGAAGCAGCAGATGTGGTCTTTACATCCGGAGCAAACATTGTTGTTGTTGGAATCAATATCACAACCCAAGTTAAATTTACAGGTCTAATATCAGCTTCTTCGCATCTCTGTTCAAGCTGAAGCTTTTCTTTGTGATAATTTCTTTATATTGCAGATGATGATCTTAGTGAATTGAGGCAATCAAAAGGGAAGCATGCTCAAATACTATGTGACATGTGCAAATTCTATAGAGATTGGCATGTGAAGTCTGATGGTGTATATGGTAACTTTCCAATTCTGTAATTCTTCTATCTCATGTTTTGTTGCCAATTTGTGTATTTTAATGAAATTACTCTCTGCTTGTTGTTCCAGGCATTTTTCTTCATGACCCTGTGAGTTTCGTGGCACTAGCTCGCCCTGATCTCTTCACATACAAGAAGGGAGTTGTGAGAGTCGAGACACAGGGCATCTGCGAAGGACATACACTAATGGACCAAGGACTTAAAAAGTACATTCAAACTTATGATGCTCATTGATGTGTTTTACTATTGGGTTGCCTCACATTTTCTTTAATTATGATGTAGATGGAATACGAGCAACCCATGGTCGGGATATTCCCCAGTTGCAGTTGCTTGGACAGTTGACGTGGATGAGGTCCTCAATTACATCAGGAACCTTGTAATGAAACCATGAGAGAATTATTTGAAGATGCTAGACATCGAAAATGTAGTGTCGAAGGTGCCCTCTGTTATCTTGTCTTACCTTCTGGTGGTGTTGGGGAAAAAGGCTAACAATTCCATTTATGTAATCATTTCAAACGCTTTACCTGTGTGCGCGAAAACATTTCACTTTATTAATGTTTAACTTTTTAAATTCAATGCAAGTTACATTCTGTTTTTCTAATCATGGTCTCTTCTATAATTTCTGATTCTTGTTAATAGAATTGATTCAGTTTTAAGCATAACTGATTGAATTTTATAAAACTGAGTCGAACTACCTTGAAACTTTGATTTGGACTGAAGTAAACCTAGAGCAGGACTACTTGCGAGCAAGCTAACCTAACCGGACCAAACAGTGTCGATTGTTCGATTGGTCATTGGGCTCAGCCCTATGTATAAACTCAGCAGTACACAGTTACAATAAAGATGAAGCTTTACAACGGAAATGATGGTGCATGGTTCCATGGTGGTAATTGCTTTCTTCACATTTTAATTTCTCCAACTTCATAATAATAAGGGTAAAATGGTTCCAAATGAGATCTGACAGGTTAAAACTGTCAATACATGTCCTAAGGGTAGAATCGTGAAATCACTATCCACGCGTCGGAAACACCCTAAAAAAACACAAAAAAGCCTCAATTCCTTAGGGATAAAACCGAATAACCAATCCGTAGATGGCCCACCTTCTTCAACCAAAATGCAAAACCAATAATACAAAAATTCACCGCGGTAACGTAAACAAACTCACCAAGATAATTACTATGGTGTCCTTATCCTTACTTACTTTTATGTTGAAGTGTAACCCTCAGATTGACTTTGATTCATGCATACCGCTCACCAAAATAATTAAAATTATTCATTAACTTCATTATTTTATATTATTACCTTGAATTGTTAATCAACACATAAAACTTTTTTTTTATTCTTTTCTCTTTTCTTTTTTAAACAAAAATAAAATCATATTTTCAATAAATCGACACAATTCATATCTAAGATAAGCAAAATCCCTATATTTTTTCTTAAATAAATCAAGGAATAAAACCTAATTTGCTTTCCTAAATTTATTATTCAAGAACAAAAAGCTATGAAATTAATTTTTTGGTTCAATTTATCCCATGAACTTATAATTCACGATCAATTTACCCTAAAGCACAAATTCAAGCAATAATTTGGTGTGCGAGAATTTGAGAAAATTACTATTATTAACTTTTTTAAAATAACAATCAACTACTATTAACTTTTTTTTTTTTTAAACTATATATGAGTAATAAATACACTCAATTTTCCCAATCTTTTTATATTTTTATCAATCAAAATATCATTCTGTTTATAAATCTTTATATATAAGAAGAACCTTCTTCTTCTTCTTCTTCTTCTTATTATTTTTATTATTGGTTGACTGGACTTTTAAGTCTAAACATAAAAATTTTATAGCCCTCGCTGATGACTTTAACACCATTAATCTGGAGATTTATTTTTTTTCTGTTATACATGAAAGTTAGAAGGTCAAAGTTATGGAGGCAATATTGTTGAAACTTGAAGATGAGAGAAAGGAACCAAGAACCAAACCCATTAAATAAAAGCAGTTAACCAACTCTTTCCTCTTCTTATTTTGAATCACCAACCACACTGAAGTACTCCTCTCAACTCCCGCCAGAAGCTTATACCTCCCACTTCAAAAACCAATCATTATCCCTTTTTTCCTTCACCGATATCTACCAAGAAACCTCAATACCCTCATATAAATATTTCTTTAAGCAAAAGCTTCTAAAAGTTAAAACCAAAACCAAGAATCAAGAAAATGGTGGGTGTTTCTTCATCAACTATATTGGCAGAGAAGATTTCTTGGTACTGTGCTTTGTTAATGGCAATACTGATGATTTTGAGTTGCTGTGAAGTTAGTGAAAGTGAATTTGTGATGAAAAACCAGAATGGCTTTGTTGTAAATAAGGGTTGTGATGAGATATATGTGGTAAGAGAAGGAGAAACATTGCATTCCATTAGTGAAAAATGTGGAGATCCATACATCGTTGAAGAAAATCCTCACATTCATGACCCAGATGATGTTTTCCCTGGCCTTGTTATTAAGATTACCCCTTTCAATAATAGGTATTTTAATTAATTTTTATTTTGTATTTCTTTTCTTTGTATTTTCAATGAAATTGTATTTTATTGGAAGCAAAATTAATTAATCACTCGATGTACACATAAATTATACGTTGTTTTATCATTAGATTTATGTTTTAATACCATTTTCCTCTTAATTTGTGGAACTTTATAATGTTTGTTTATCTCCATGCACATGAACTCACAGATATCAAATCCCAAATCTCATTCATATTTTCCACGTCATAATTGAACTTTACCAATGATAATTTTTCCTTTAAATTCTTTAAAAATATCTATCGACTGAAAATTGAAAAAAAATAAATAACTAATATAGAAGAAAAGAAAAAAAAAATTATTTCAAGCCAAATACAGTAACTAACGTAGGGGTGAGTATTCGGTTCGGCTAATTCAACTAATTTGATTTGGTGAATAAATGTTCGATTAAAAAAATTAAATTTTCAGTGGTCGGTTAAAAGTCTGGTTAAAAATTAATCAAACCGAATTAATCAAATTAACCAACTCTCAAAACTATGTCATTTTGATTAATTAGATAATAAAATTAAAAATTAAAAATATTTCAATGTTTATTTTGATTAAGTAGTGATTAGTAATTCAGATTAATTTGTAATACGGTTGAAGTCGGTTAATCACAAACTTCAGTTAAATTAGTTGAGTTAATTAGATTTTTCAATTTCCTTAACTTCGATTCGATTAATGATCAAAATTAATTCGGTTAAAACGATTCAGTTAAATCCGGTTAAAGCAAAAAAAATTTCAATTAAAAATATTATTCAAATCGGCCGAATCGGCAGAATGCTCACTCTTAAACTAACATATGTTGTAGATACTTTTTTATTAAGAAAAAAAAATATGTCTATCACTCAATTTGTTTCAACTGTTTTCATGCTCGGATTGAGGATAATGTTTAGAAAAAGTCTTTCCAAATTATAGAGATTCTCAGTTTCAAATCCTTGATCTTTATAAATAAAACTAATCGTGATTTTGCGTTTCGTGCGAAAATATTATAAATCATTTGAATAATTACTTTTATTGAATTATGTTGTTAGGATTTTTAATTTATATCTTTAAATTAAGACTAACAATAAAAATGATTGGAAGTATTTTGAGTAAAATTTATTTCTATATGTATTTTTGAGTAAATTAATTTTGAAGTCAGCTATCTATATGTATACTATTAATTAAAAACACTCAACAGCAGATCAAAAATAAAAAATTTTAAAGTTATGATTATCTATGTAATTATTAATTATAAATTAGTTTAATTTCAAATTTATAATTATATATATCTATTAATTATAAATTAATTATAAAAAAAAGTATACCCAATCAAGTGCAATAAAAATAAAAATAAAAATAAAAATAAATTTTTAAAAATTTCAAACTCATAATAAACTATAAAATATCTTCATCATAAATAAACTTTAAAAATATATTTAACATTGAATCAAATTATAGAACAATAAAATAAATTAATAAATTAAAAAAATTATGATTGGAAGGATTCTCAAATTAATTTATGTTCACCCAAAACTACACCAATTTATATCATTGTATAATACTCACAAATAATGTTAAACTCCAATTGAACTAATGATATTTAAATTTAAATTTGGTGAGTTTAAAAATTATTGTAATTAATATAAGTATAGGTTTCAAAGAAACGTGGACATAATAAGTGATATATATAGAAAAAAAGATGGAAGGGGAGAAAATTAGGGAGATAAAATAAGTACATATAATTGATTTGTTGACAAATAATATAAAAAAGGGCTATTGATAGACAAATAGTTACTGATGATGCATAAGCATTAAATAACGTCAACATCACAGAAGCTGGTTTTGGCAAGAGAGACATAGCATGGTTGAGAAGCTCATCTGCAAAAGCCAGCAAGAAGCAGACGAAAGAGTTTAGTGTGAAAACATACAGTTTGGCTTGAATCGATTTATCAACTTTTCTACCTTAATTTCTGGCTATTGTAGTTGAATGGACTTGATAAATTTCTTCTCAGTGTACCAGTAGAATTTTTCACCAATAGAAACAATACTTGTAAGTTTAAAAAACGTCTAAAACTAAGATTAATACCCATTAGTTAAACTGTCATCATTATAAAAATTACATTACATTAGTGTAGAATTAATAGCCATCCAAATTTTAATCAATCAAACACCAAGAATGCGTAAAAGAATGAAAAGTGCCAAGGAGATGGCCCATCTCGCAGTATGGCAGTAGGTAATTATTTGTGAATTACTTAAGAGGTAGAGATTAGATTATATAATGCATTCAATTAAAAAAAATTTAGCTAGATTTTACAGTTCTAGTTTGATTAGGTGAGATAGTTTGATAAGATTATAGATTCAAAAAGTTATTAATTACCAACACTACATATTAAATTGAAAAATTAAGTTGACCAATCAAAATATAGAAAAATAAAAAAAAATTATAAATTTTCTAAAAAAAAAAAATTAAAATAAAATGCTTAATAAAAAGAATGCCTTAAACCTTCTATTTATTTCAGCTTTCGTGTGTATATATATAGATTTGTTTACTTTTACTAATCTACTTGCATATTGATCAATTAAAATATATCTAAAATTCTTTTTTTTTTTTTTTTTTTTTTTTTTTTTTTTATCTAAAATTCTTTTTTTTTTTTTTTTTTTTTTTTTTTAAAGGTTGAAGGCTCTTGACCTTCCACCATGCCTTTTTTTTTTTTTTTTTTTTTTTTTTTTTTTTAAAGTTGAAGGCTCTTGACCTTCCACATCCTAGACTAACTATAAAATAATCATTCAAACATATGCTAGTAGACCATGCAAAGTTTGAACTTGAATTGAATTCAAGCATTTCACCCAATCCTAATCATAGATATATATTACTCCTTTCAAAAATTTTATTTTTTTCTACTTTATTTTTTTATTTTAAAAAATTTTAGGAGTATATATATTTTTTAACTTTACTCTTACTTCCATTGCGTAAGCATTGTTATTTAAAGAATTAATAAAAGAGTAATTTAGCATAAAAAGACAGTAGCAATTGAATTCTTTCACATAAAAAACTGTGTTTTTTTGGCAATTTAAAATAATATATAAAATATAAAAAATTCATAATCTATTTTCTTAATATTCTTTTCCATCACGAGACACTATTAAGCTAACGAAAATATTGATCCAAAATATTGCTGATCTTTTAATATATCACATGATTATAATAAAATTTGAAATAAATGGTAAAAGTAAATTTTATTTATTATTATTTCCTAGCATTTTATCAAAAACACTTTCAATTAGATTTTAACATGAAGCTACAAATTAAAAATTTTTCAAAATATTACATCATATAATGAAAAGTAATTCAAGCAATTTATAAATACCTGTGCGGGAAGCGTGGTACTATGACTAGTTTGGGGTATAAGAAGGAATATAAATAAATATGAAAAAAAAAAATTTACTTCTTGTTGTTATTTTATGTTTTATTTTAATTTTCATAACCCTGTAATATTTTCAAATTATAAATATACTAACGAAACTTTTTTTGTTTGGATCCCGATATAGACTTTGTTTGCATTGTAATTTTTTTTTATTTTTTCTAATTTGTAAAAAAATTCAGTTTTAACACTCCTATTGTGAACCAAGCCAGAAGATAGGTTAACCATGTATAACACTCCCAATGCTTTAACCAGTTAGCTTTGAAAATATTAACAAAAAGATGTGCTATAATATTCTCCATTGCTAGGCTTAACTAAAATAATTAATGTTTTTATGTAATATCTTAAAATTTTCATACATAATAATTAATTTTTCTCCAATATCTCACAAGTTAGCAAGTTTTTTTGCTCCTCATATTATTGAGTAAAATCACAATAGATTTGTTTCCATACAAAGTTTGCTACTTCATAATTTTCACTTCATATTATTGATAAAAGAAATACCCTGCACAAAAGAAAAATAAGATTAGGCAAATGAATATTTTAGGATATGTTTTTGTATAAAACTAAGTTTAGGGTTAAGAAAATATATAAGTTCATTTATAGTCAATTGCATAGTTAATGAATAATAAAAAAAAATCCAACATTTGTTTTTATTTAACAATGGTATATAGCTTTTAATAGAAATGAACAGAAAAACACCAAAGTTTTCTTTTGCAATTAGGCATCCATTTATTTCCAGAAAATAACTTACATTTGAAATATATTTTTCAAGAAAAATAGTAAATGACTTATTTTCCATTGTTTGGTTGCAATTTGAAAATTAATTAAAAATATTAAGATTGTTAACTCATAAGATAATAAAAATAAAAATACTAGTAATATAAATTTCATATTTTATAAATTTTATTATTAAATATAAGAATAATGCAAAAAAAGAAAAGATAAATTATGAAAGTCGTAAGCGACCGGTGGTGGTGGTGGGTGATGGCCGGTTGTGGGTGATGGCCGGTTGTGGTGGTTGAAGGTGGCCAGTGGTAGTGAACGGTGAGTGGTGGTAGTGGCTACCGATGATTAATAAATTAACAAAATATGGATTTATAAGGTTATAATAAGTTTGTCAAAGTCCGAAAAATGTTTTAGGTAGTGGCTACCGATGATTAATAAATTAACAAAATATGGATTTATAAGGTTATAATAAGTTTGTCAAAGTCCGAAAAATGTTTTACGCTCTTTAAGATGAGAAGTTATTTACCTGAATCGCCCAAAACAAAGGAAAATTGTAAAAAATATTTTCCTACAAGTTATTTTACGGAAACAAATAAAACCTAGATCAGCTAAATACCAAAACATTTTATTCATAAATTGTGAAATGTCAATCAAAATATAAAGACCATGTTTGAAAAATAACTTTTCAAATTGGATTTAGTGTTATAATTTGGTCAAAATATTATTCCTATTATTTATAAAGTTTGGTGGCATAACATTGCTCCTTTAACATTTGATGAAAAGTTGCTGGCAAAAAAACAGTTTACAACTATTAGAATAATTAATTTTATGGATAGAGTTAAAAGTGTAATTTGCGAGAAAAATTTTATTTGACGATAAAGATTTTATAACAAGTTATCAGCACAATTTCGTTCTATCAGTTCGATTTTCGTTGCATCGCTCTTTTGATCAAATCGCAGGA